AGTGTGTAAATTGTTGGTGGAAAGGACAACCTGTATTCGTTTCTTTAAACTCGAAACGATGGAATTCTGCCTGGCCGCTTGTTCTCGAAGTTGATCAGCCTCCAGTTGCAGTTCCACGACTCGTTGATCCCGGGATCTCGCGATATTCTTAGTCTCTTGGAGCTGAAGCAGAAGTGGAAGGATTGTGATGACCCATCAGGGGTTGAGAAAGTAAAGTTAAAAATTTCGAGCAAATTTACTTTTCTCGAAATACTCGAGCAACGTTTATTCAAGCTATTATCGTATACAACCTTTGCCACGCTCCAATTATTTCCTATACATCGTTGTTTTTTACGTTTTTTCCGACGTAATTAATTATCGAAGCGACTTCGTAACTTCGACCATTAAATTTTCCCCATCACCGAGATCCATTTACCTCGGACATCAGCCTGTCCCGTTTATATTCGAGGGCTGCTATCTCGCTCCTCAACGTGGTAATTAAGTCGTGGGTCATCGCCTCTTCCTTGAACGATTACATTCAACAGATATTTCGATTAATAATATCTCTTTCGATTAATAATAATTCGTATTGATGCGAAGCATTCGTGACAAGCGTGTTAAAAGCAAGCTAGTTTAAACGTGAATTTTCAACATTGCATCATTATTACAAGTAAAAAATTCCGTCGATTTTATTTTTACGCGCTCGATCGATATTCTATCCTCGCCGTGCCATCTGTACACTCTAATCTCGCGTGATTATTTCGAGACGATTCGAAAAAAGATTCCGATAACGAAAACTCAAAAAAAAAAAAGAAAAGAAAAATTCAAAAAGTTTTTAAAAGTTTAAGAAAAGGAAAAGATGAAATAAAAATTTTCGATGATCTCTTTCGCGCGATGTAAAAAACTTACGTTCCTTACGTTCGTTTAAATGCATGTATTTATTATCACGCCTCCCCGTGAGTTTCAACGTGAATTTCCACTCTACTTTATCGATTATCGATATGGCGATTGAAAGTAAGGAGAAATTAAGTAAAAAAAAAAAAAAAAAAGCCGATTTTACATTTTGGCGCGCGTAGACGCGAAAGGA